TTGATATTAATCATATATATATAAGACTTATTTTACATAATTATCAATCAAATTAACCTTATTATTATTCCTCTAACAATAATCAAGTTAGAGAGTAAGGGAACATATATGAACTAATTAGGAAGTTGATATTAATCATATATGTAAGATCTAATTTACATAATTATCAATCAAATTAACTTTATTATTATTCTCTAATAATAATCAAGTCAGAGAGTAAGGGAGCGAATTGAAAACTTTTTTTAACAGTAGCAAGAGTTGATGATCGAATGGGGCATTTGGAGTTTTGTTTTTGTGTGGAAACTTCTTTAGATTATTATAAACCATAAGTGTGTTGTACCAACGGCATACTCTAAGGATAAATTACACTAAGTGCCACTGGCCTTTTAGTGTTGTGATACCAAAATTGTTTTCTAAATCTTGATAGTAAGGTAACAACAGGTTTTATAATTAGGACCAAATATAGTAATATTGGTATTTAACCCTCTAATTTAATATAATAAATAATAAGTCATTTCTAATCAAATTTGTTTTATATATGAAAATTATGAATTAAACTGGCAACCATGTTTTGACCAAAAAAAATCTTGCTGCTTGTATGAGACCAAAGGTTTATTTTGAGCTGCTCATATTAACTAACTATACTATGTTTACATAAATCAAGACAAAACTCCTCTCAAGTATCATTTTGACTCTTAATATAAATTATTTATAACACATTCTCAATGAATGTATTACATTAATTAACAAAATTTTTAATTTTGTTCTTATTAAAGTTTTTCTCTCTCGCTGTATTTATCAATCATTTTCGTACCTCTCCTTTATTTCCCCCTTTTCAATGAGAATTAATAAAAATAAAAAAAAACATTAAATATATTATAAGTGGCTTATATTTATGACCAGAATTTCTCCCTACAAGTGAGTTATATTTAGAATTAAGAGTGATACATATTTCATCCTTCATAAATTATGATTAAAAGCTACTTTTAAGGGATTCTACTGCACTCCAAACAAGCAGCAAGTTGATTATGTTGGAGTATCATCCAAAGAGAGTGGTATAAATATCCAAAAGAAGAAAAGAGCTTGAAGTGTCATTTTCACAATGTCCGTTGCCAAAGGTTACAAACAGATGGCTTAAGAACGAAGGATGGCAACAAGGTGGTGCCGTAGCAGTAAAGGGTGGACCAAGTTGAAGTGCTTGCACCAACACACAAATTTGCAAGGATAACCAAATATCTTTGACTTCACGGTGTGCGTGCGTGCATACACATATATACTCCTTCGTTGAGTTAATCAAAGGGTTTATTTTAATCCTGAACATAAGACTTTAATTTATTTTATTTTTTTTAGATTCATAATTTTTTTTTGTAAATTATTCTTATTAATTGCATGACTAAAAAGTATTTCTTTTATCAATGAGGGTAATAATTAAAGAGCATATCTTAAGGAATTACCATTTTTTTTATAAATAACTAACTAAATTAATTTTTTAATATTTATAAATTAGTTATCTAATTTTTATATCCAACTTAGGTTGGATTGAGGGAAAAATGAAAGAAAAATAAGAAAAAGAATATTAATGGAAAAAACTATAAATATAATAATTTTTTTTTACCGTTCTAATATTTTTTTCCTCTGATTTTCTTTCCATCCAAACTAAAGATTAGGATATATAGGGAGAAAATATTGGGTTTGTTTAGAATGATTTACAAACAACTTTTTAATTGTAATTTACAAAACACGAGATAAATATGTGGAAAAAAACTTTTTGTCTCTACTTACGTGAAATGACTTACATAGCAAACGAAGTCATGATATGAGTGGGGTTGCTTTGAGGAGCAACCTAAGCTGTTAGCATCTGGGAAGATGCCAAAAACCTAATCCTCCCAATGTCAGATCCGTTGATTGTAATCTCTGGTTAGTTGTTGTTGATTTGTTAATGTTAACGTTAGTTTGGGTCAAGCATTAAGGCATAAGACAAGCCATACAATGCCATCTCAATCCCCAACAACCCCCCCCCCCCGGGATCTAAAAAAAATCTTTGATGTTCAAAATTTTCCATCACTTTCTCCTTTCTCACCAAATGCAAATTTCATTCAAATTTCAATATCCATTATTCATTAAGGTAAATCAATAAATCATACAATATTTTTCATTTTAAAAATTAACACATTTCCCAGCCTAAATCATAATCGAAGTGTTTTGATAAAAAGATTATTATTTAAAATGTGCTTTATTAACTACTTAAGACTAACTTCAATAATAAGACGGAATATGAATAGACATTTAAGTCCTAAATAAATATTATCGAGGACAATTTTGATATTCCACCAAAAAATCAATTTTAGCCAATTTCATTAATTCAAGAGTAAAATTGTTATTAAATACTTATAAAAAGAAATGGAGGAGTGCATTTTTCTATTTTATTTCAAAAGGGGATAAAGTGTATATGTGTATTTTAAAAAATAAATGTCTACGACAATCTTTTTTCTCCCTAAACACAAGTATCCTCCTAGTTAGGAGTGAGCAAAACCAAATCGTAACCGAAAATCGAACCGAACCGAATTGAATTTCGGTTTTTCGATTCGGTTATTTTGGTTTTCGGTTACATATTCGGTTTTTATTTTCTTAACAATTCGGTTTCGGTGTTCGGTTCGGTTAGTAGAAAAAAATTTCGGTTATAACCGAAAAACCGAAACAAATATATTATATATTTATATTTAATAAATATTATTATAATAAATATATATGTGGGTTTATGTGAACTCTTTAAATATATTTATATTCAATAAATATAGTTATAATAAATATTATTATAATAAATCACATCGAATGATGAAATATTTATTAATTATTGGTTATAATTGTGTTTTATTATTATTTTTAATTTAAAATCACTTTTCATATTTATATATTTCAGTTAATCAGTAACTGAACCAAAATATTTCGGTTAATTCGGTTTCGGTTAGTTCGGTTAATCAGTTTCGGTTTGGTGTCTAAAATTTGCTCTATTCGGTTATTCGGTTATTTCAGTTAGTATCGATAACCGAACTGAAAAACCGAATACTTACCCCTACTCCTAGTGGAAGTAATCTAATTCAAGACATTATTAAATACTAAATATTAACATATATTCCGGCAATAATTTAGAACCTGATTCTCCGTATTGTAAATAAGTAACTTTTTCTCTCACAAAAAAAAAAAATCCCAGCCTAAAGACAATGGAAAACACAGAGGTAGCCCAGCACGTACGTTTTAGAAAGCACATCAATGGGCCCAATAAGCCCGCATGTAGCAGAAGGCCCATTTCAGAAGGTTAAAGCAATGTAAGGGGAAATGACGTTTCGGGACCAAAGGAAAAGAATAACAACATTTTAAGATTCCAAATTTTAAAATCCCAATTAAGACCTTCATCTTTTATTTATTTACTTTTTTTTTTGGCCAACATGACCGTCCTCTTTTATTGACATTTAATTAAAAAATTAATTTACAAAATTTACCTTTTCATGGGCATCGATCAGAGTGCCTTTATTCACACACAGCTACGCAAGTTAAAAAAAACATACAAGTTAAAAAAAAAAATCTCAAAAGTTAAGTTTAAAAATTAAAAAATTTGTGTTGAAAAATAATACTCCTCTAGTCTTTAGTAGGACCTAATTGTTAAGTTGATTTTGATCCTAAATATAAAACATATTTCTCATATTTATTAACTTTTTAAAATTATTCTTATGGATATTCTCTCAATCATAATCAAATAGAAGAGAGAAAGAAGATTTAAGAAAGATGATTATGGTGTTTTAGAAAAAAAAAGTCATATTTCTTATAATTAACTAACTTACCTAATTTTTTTAATCTAATCAAATTAGTTAAATAGGTCATATATTAAGGACCGGAAGAATATAAAGTACCTTTCGGTTTAAATTGTTTCCAAGTTAACTTTCTTAAATCTCTAACTCATATATAAATATATTAACTGAAAATGATTCAAACGTTTTCAACTTTTGCGTGTGTAATTATCCTTTTTTTTTTTTTTGGCTGAAGTGTGTGTATTTATGAAAGACAACAAGTTATAAGGGCAACAATTTTATAATACAAGTGGGTAAAAGGACAATAACTAAAAATAGAAAACTTACACAAAAAATCACGCTTACCTCTACGGAGCACAAACTGTAATACTGAAAAAGAAAAATCATTTATAGTAGACTAAAAATATCCTTGTGGATGATGGTAGTTGAAGTAGACCCAAGTCCTTTTGAGATCAATAAATTTCTTTTCAACGCAAATAACTTCTAGTTTTTTTCTCATCCAGTTAGTTTTCAATTTGTATTTGAACAAAGGCATTTTGGTCACTTGGTTTTCCTCTTAAATGTTAAAAACGAACCGTGATCCTTATTTTAAATTTTTGAGATGTCAAAGTATTATTACCTTTCTTAGTTAATCATATATTGCCTCTATTTGCCATCACGATTGAAATCATTTATAAACATGATTTATATAAGTTAAAACAAAGTTTTTCTCATATATTTATGTTATATTCCAATATATCACGATTCAAAAACTATTTATAAACTATTTCAAATGAGTTCATTTTTGTTTTCTTGTAATCTTAGACTAGTTGATGGGTTTCTTGATTGAACAAAGTCAAGATAGATTTGAATCTCACCATTACTCATGATTTACTATACATTTAATGGATTATTGGATAGAAGTGGGGAATTTTTCAACAAATGAAGAGAATTTTGAAATTGATTTGTTGATTCTTCGGAGACACTGATAATGCACGGCTAGTTTTTCTTCTCTTAGCTGCTGATCAGCTCAGATCCGCTCAGCGAGCACCGTCCGTACACATAACTGCCGCTTTCCCTTTCCAACCACCATTCTCACCAACAAGACGAACCACCGCTCAAGCTCAACCCTATGCTCACTTCCATGAGTTCCATCCCCATGGACATTCTATCCCGCCACCGGTCTTTTACTACTCTTCGTTTTGCATTTCCGGAATGCAAGATCCCCAGCATTCTCCTGCTGCGGTTCATTCTTCTTCTTCCTCCGCTGTTGCTTCGTCGTCTACGAGCAATTCACAAGGCCGACAAGAGGAACGCGGCATTGGGCCTCCTGCATTGCAGTCGCCTGAGTCCGACGCACAATCCCGGCGTCTGCTACTCAACTTTGGAGCAAGCAATTGGGATTTCGCCATTGCGCCTTGGCTTGCCAGGGATGACGCCTGGCCTTGTGTTGTGATACTCTTGACATTTTGGTTATTCGGTACTGACTATTTCAATTGGTTTCAATTATGCTTGAAGAATCTACAATTTCCATGCATTCTTTGTGAGCTTCTCAGCTTAATGCTGAATTTATGCTTTGTTTTTACAGTTTCCCTGACTATCATTCTGGGAGTTTATGGGCCTATCCCCAATTCTTCCGTTCTTCTCCGACCCAGCCCTCTATTCGTCCAATATATGAAGGTCAATCACTAGTTACTACTTACTAATATTTCCTTTCCTTGCATCCCTCTATAGTGATTTGGGTTAAAGTTCGAGCAGGATAGATCATTTTGGAATTGAAATTATTTGCTTGATCCCAGAAATAGCATTATAATACACTGAAGATATTCAAGATACAAGGGAAGGGAAACAGAAACTTAACTATTATGCTGTTCATTGTTTTAATATTCATATGATTAACTTCTCCAAACTGACTTTTTATAAGCATCTATCTAAACATAAATCATATAACACTAACTGACTTTTACTCTAACTTCAGTTACAAAAATCTGTTAGAATAGAAGTTAGTTTTGTTTACTGTCAATCCAAACTCACCTTAATTATTTATTTGAGGAATAAGGCCCCCATGTCGTGTGGTTCCATATCATTATGAGGCCCACCAAATATATCTCTCATCTAAGCGACCTAGTAGCCTATCACATCCGAATTTAAGTGGGCTCGAATTTTACAAAATCTTTGTTCTAAGCCTAAAACAAAGTCATGTGTAGTTGGAACAAAAAAAAAAACAGAGAGTCCCCTGTAGTCAATTATGTGGGAGAAATGTATTAGCCACCTTACAATACCAATTCAATACCAACCAACTCAAGCGATCATTGCCAATACTAGTTGGTTTGATACAATTTGCCAGAGAGAACAGGTTTTATGGAACTATTTCTAGTTCCAATACCAGGCATCTGTTTCTCAATTAACCTAAGGATTTTTGACATTTCCAACAACAATAATTGTAATGGATCATTACCAGCAAGATACATCAGGGAGTTTAAAGGAATGATGAGAATGAAAAAATGTTCAAGGTGGTTCGTAGTATATGGGAAGTGAAAATTATTCAGCGTATATGGATTCAGTGGTGATCACATGGAAAGGTTATACCATAGAATTTAAAAGGATCTTGACAATATTCACCATCGTTGACTTGTTAAATAATAAATTTGACGGAAAGATTCCCAAAGCTATTGGAGAGCTACATGCACTAAGAGGGTTTAATTTTTCTCACGATAGAATCTCTGGTTCTATTCCAAAATCAATTGAAAAATTGACAAGTCTATAATTGTTAGATACATCATCAACAAGCTAGAGAGGGTGAGATTCCTCTAGTATTGACAAATCTCAACTTTCTTGCATTTTTGAACCTTTCACAGAATAAGTTTGGAGGAGTCATATCAAGAGGTAAACAATTTGATACATTTCAAAGAGATTCATAGGAGGGGAATTTAAGATTATGTGGTGTTCCATTATCAAAAATTTGCAATAAGGATGAAAGAGAATACTAATGAGAAAGTTGGTTGGAAACCAATAACCTTGGGGTATGTATGAGGAATGGTATTTGGAATCCTCATGGGATATATTGTGTTTTCAACTGGGACACTCAATGGTTTGTAAGGATTTTTGGAGATCATTCTAAGAAACAAGCCAAAAGAGCGAGAAACAGAGCTTGTACAAATTAAAGAATGAATTACTTAAGAATATGGCTTTATAATCTGTTACAACTTTTTGGTCTTTATGTTTCTTCTTTTGTTTTGTTTGTCTAGTTGTATCATGTCTGTCAAATATTCTAGCAACACTAAGAGTGTATTATATATGTTTTGTTTTCAATGTAATGATGGCTTGTTATTCCATTTTTGCAATTTTAAGTGATTTGTTGTCATTGTTTTTATTTGTGTGCGTTGAAGGTGAATGAAGCATAAGTTTGAGGCCCAAAAAAACAACTGTTTGTTCATGTTAGCACATACGATGGTAATTAATTAGCTTTTTTTTATTTTCCATTACTTCAAAAAGGCCCCATTTTAAAATCATAATCAACTTTTTCAAGTTTTGAATTCCTCTGAAAACTCTACAACCCCCTTATTCACGGTATGTCATATTATTAGTAATTCACACAATTTTCTTTCGAGTAAATTACAATGAATTTTCCTACATTTTGCTGGGAAATTTTTTTTTTTAAAAGAAGAATTTTTGCGAGTGTTGGTTCATTTAAAGTAAAGAAATTAAACTCCTGCTGGTTTGCTTGATTCTTATGATGCATAATGATTCTCTAAAACTAAATTGACAAAGCTCCACTCTTCTTCCCCACCATCCCCGCTACCTACTGCGTTCCAAACTTTTAGCAAAATATCAACCATCTTCAATTCTTCTCTCTCCTTTGCAGATAAAAAGCGAAAAACCGTGCTGCTTTCTTGTGATCTAAAATATTGAAGAAGACGACCAAGTGATGCTCATATAATGTCTACATCTGACAATGGATGAAACAAAATTTGTTACCAAACACCCCATTCTCTAATTAACTTATTAACAAGTATTGGCCAACAATCAAAATGTCTGGAGAACTTTTTTCAGACCACCCCGCCCAGATTCGTTTTGCTTTTGATATAATCCTTCCAATTTTTTTAAAATTGAATTTCCCTTTGATCTGAACATCATGAGCTCTCTTTGCTTTGAGGGCGACTGTTTCTGGGCATAGTTTCCTTGCCAATCGTCTCTTCCTCTTCGTCCTCCCCTCTCTCTAAACCGGTACCCCACCCCACCAAAAATCATGAACTTCTTTGCTTTGAGGGCGACTATTATAGTTATGAATTGTTCAGACAATATTTTAATAGTTTAAATTTATTTATTTATCTTTTTAATAATATTATTTTTATAAGATGTTAAATCTGGACTATTAGAATTTTGATCCAATGACTGTGAAGAGAAAATGAGAATAGTGGGAGGACAGAGGATGAAAAGGGTAGCAGAGAAAATCTAAATCCGTGGATGACAGAGAGGGAAGGAGACTGAAGCGTGTTTTTTTGGGGGGGTATTTTTCCTGCCATGTCAGTGTTTTTCCCCAAGTCAGTTGTCACAGGATCCGTCATCAGCTCCAACTAACGGCGTATATACATTTGGTAAATGGAAGGACTAGCATGAATAACGGAGCAAATAGTGAGGATGAAATAAAAAGGAAAAAAACTACTGGACCTGATTCAAAATTTGATAAAACTATGAGGATTGACAAATGAATTTTTCCATTTATTAATATGGGAGCCATTTTGGAAATTCATACTCTGTAAACCTTTATTCACGCCACATCAATTCATTTGTATGAAGTGCCATTCACTTACAAAGTTAGAATTCCACAAACAAAACAAATGTGGAAAATTTGCACCCAATCTAGAGACATATGCAAGAAAGTTCTCCCCCAGATAGAAGAGCTAATTTAAGAGTTAGTTTTTATCCTAAATATAAAATTTTAACTTATTTTGTTTGTTATTTTTTCTCCAAACTAAATTACCTAACATATAAACTAATGTATAATCTCATGTCATAAAGAGGTATTTTAAGGAGGTCATGTAATATTTTATATAATTTATTTATTTATTTAAATTTCTTAATTTATCTGAATTAGTTATATAGCTCGTAAATGAATGATCGACAGTAATAAATATTTTATTTTATATATAAATGATATAATTTTATTTTAAAATAATGTTAAAATCTTGAAATTTTTTTGGGAAAAATAGTCTTGGTTGACGAATATTTAAATTTAGGGTCTACTGGTCATAAGTGGGGTGGGGGGAGAAAATTGTGGGATCAATCTATCTAATATCTATTTGCTTTCCGTGCATGGTTCACTGAATTTTACTTATTTTTTAGTCATTAAAGTAATAAAATAGAGAAAAAAGTAATATAAGAACTGACCCTATAGTCATAAAGCATGTGTCCAAGTCAAATAAATAAAAGTGAGTCTTCTTTACATGCAGTTATTTGCAGCTATAGATATATTTCTCTGGTTCTAAATATAAGATCTTTATACAATTTAGGACCCTTATACTAGTATGTATAAGGGTCATATATTTAGGACCAGAGGAGTATTTAATTTGAGTTATCCAAATTTTCAATGGTTGGTATTCATGTTATAATCCACATTTCCAATTGATTTTCAGTGTGTGTGTGTGTTGAAATAATCTAAAGAAACTATTTTCTTTGTATTTTCAGTGTATTCATGTTATTAAAATTTTTTCAAGAAGAAATTTTCTGAGTTTTGTTAAATCTAAAGAAAATCCTGCTATTTGAGCCAGAGAAACCTATAATGCAAATTACTATTTTCTTAGAATGTTATTGAGTTTGGAATTCTGCCGAAAAAATCTGAATAATTTGCACCTAATGTAAGACATGCAAAAATTAATAGAATATCTACAACTGTGATAAAGATGTTCAGGATATATACATGTAGGATGGACTGTTCTATTTTGAATTGTTAAACTATTGGAATTTTTCATAATAAATAGCAATCTTAGTTGCCAAGTATTAAGTTTTGGGGTCTATAAGGTCAAAAAGAAGACGAAAAGAGGTTGGGGGGCAATTTACATTGGTCTATTGGCACTCCTCACACGGCATTTCATCTTTAGATGCAATTTCCACTTGTCACCAAAAAGAAGAAGAAGAAGAAGAAATTTCCACTGCATTTTACGAATTTTAAGGGTTGATCTTGGTCACAAAGCATGCTGCTACATTAATTTTAAGTCAAATAAAGACAAACAAGTTTTTTTTATGATTATTTACAGCTATATATTGAGAGATATTTAAAGGATTAAAGTGTAAATCTACGTGAAAAGAAATTTTGGGGAAGCACCAAACACCATAAACTACTTATATAATGATTTTTACTATTCTTGTAATAGTTTTGACATGTTAAAATCACCTCTTTATTATTTTGAAATTTAACTGGTGTTTTTTGTGATTGTGAAAATTTTAAATGGGGTTAAGGTACATATTTACTCATGAAATATTCCTTCAGGAGCATCAAATACCATAAATTTTTTTAGGTGCAAAAATACAAATGAAATTTTCAAAGTGGTGTAAAAATGTCACGACTGTTAAGTCAACTAATATTAACCGTTTAATTGATAATTCAACTGACAAAATGGTGGAAAAGTACACATGAAGTTTTCAAAATGGTGCGAAAATAGACACGTAGTTTTCAACAACCATGGCATTTT